CATCTATAAATCAAAGACTTCTTCCTTAATTTTGGAGTATGCTGACTTTAAAAATAGCTCGTGCCCTTGTAAAGAGGTTGGGTTTCGTGTTTCAGCTTCCTTTCTGAACTGTAATAATGCAATTGAAATATGGGACGGCTAGGTGCGGCCAGCCGCGAAGAGGCTCAGGTTAGTCCTGCCTGGCATGGGAACTTTCCTGGGATCTAGAATGATCAATAATGTTTGCCTTACCGATTTCATGGACCTCGATCTTGTTTTGTTTGTACCAAACTCGGAGCTGCTCGAAGGCTCGACGCTGTACAGGAGTGACTCAAGCAAAAGCGTATTTATCTCTGGAATCATTCGCATATCTTGCGTGTTGAGCTCGGCTACTACCTCTCTGATATTCACGAGTCCCAGACGAACAGCTCCAATAACTTTTGCTGCAACTGCCATCCTCTCTTCCTTGCTATGTTTAATCCACTGCATCACTGATTTAAAGATGAACGTCTCGGACGGTGAACTGAGGTCATCTCGGCTGAGAAGGCTGAGCAACTGATCTCCGTCGATATGAGCCAAAAATTCTTTGCTTTCGCAGACATCTTTATACTTCTTAGCCATTTCAATCTCAGTAGCCTCTTGTAGATCTTTAAGGGCATGGCTGTGAGCAATTTCGCAGATACGAGAGTAAGTTTCAAAATCAAAGTGAAGCTTAACAAACTCGGTCAGCAAGAAATCGCAACACTGTTGAACAACAGTCGTCACTTGGAGATGATCTGCTGCTGCAAGAACTTCAAACACGTTATCTTTGTTGACTTGAAAATCCCCACTGTAGATGCAGTCCATTATAATCTTCAAAAAGTCTGGTGAAATGCTTTTATCTTTCAGGTCTATCATTTCATGGTTGGACTCCTTCATTCCATCCGTAAACATGGCCTAGAAATAGTCGCTATTCGCAGCCACCTCTATTCGATGAGCTGGAAAGATGTCTTCGCCCACTTTTAAACGAACATCGATGAACTGTTCTTCGTCTCTAAACTGAGCACATTTGGTTAAGAAAATCTCGGAATTGTTGACGACCATTTTGAGAGAGGAATTTAAAAGTTATGGATGAGCAGAAACTGGGGTGAATTTGATCCTTGAATGACAGCGTGACCACAGATTTAATCAGTCACGCGATTGAAATAAAACTTCGAAAGGATTGATTATGCCCGAAAAGCAGGCAAAACCCGCAAGGTTTTCCCTCAGTTTTCTCATTTCCTATCCTCATCCTCGTTGTCTATAACGCTCGAATATAATGAAGTTGTTTGCATAGTTTTGAGAAGTTTTCATCAAAGTCTACCACGAAATTTTTACTCGTCTACTAATAGCCGGAAGTCGCAGACGTACCAGCATCATCAAATTTATCTTTATACCCTTTTTATTACAGAAAAAATAAGTTAGACATCGTGGTTTTAAGATTTATTCTTGTTTTAGAAGAGAAGACACAATGTGGATGTATATAACTGAAAATAAAAGCAAGAAGCGTGACACGCTCTCTCCACAACGAGATTCGTGTTGCACGACGTAACAAAGCGGCGGCCGGGAAGCCGGAAGGCTCAAGCATTGTTCGTTACTATTATCGTGCACTACAATGCATAGAGTTAACTGCAATTTTATTGATGTACAAAAAATATATAAATAATTTTCACTCTTAATACTAAAGTGCTTTTTTTTCAAAATCACAATAATGATAAGATTGTCTATACTGGCGAGTATTACACAGGGAAGATACAACAATTACAGCTTAAGGTTAGCCAAGTTATCTAGCCGGCCGTATCCTATCAATAATTCATTTGGGCTGTTTTGATTATTATTCTGCCTTTAAGCTATCGACGTTCAATGGCAGATAGCACAAAACCGCTTTTTGGTCGATCTTTCCTAAATTTTCCCACTCGTGAAACACATTCAAAGGTAAGGGATAAACCTCGGCTGGCGAAAATCTAATTCCGCTATCAATTGGAAAATTGTTTATCATAAAATAAACTTTCCCTTCTATTTCCAATGCGTTAAGATCATTTGGAGGAATATGATTTTGTCGAATAATAGACCAGGAGTTGTTCTCCTCGTCATAAACCTCAACAGAGGCTCC